GTTAGATAGAGCCCTGCATTAGTCTCTGGGTTGGGCATGGAGCCTGCTTGAGACTCTTCCTCTCCCCTCTGCCCCCTCACTGACCCCTCTCTCAAAAAAAAAAAAAGAAAGAAAGAAAAATTTAAAACGTAAATTTTAAAGCCCCTTTATTTTGATGGTTTATTCTCTTATTTTGTTAGGGCACATGGTCTAGGAATTTCCTAAGAAATGTTGCATGGTGGATACATTTTTTTTTCTTGTTCTTGAAGGTCTTTATTTCCTCATTTTGCACTTGACTAATGGTTTGGCTGGATACAGAACTCTGGGCTGAACGCAGAACTTGTAAAGCGCTAGTCCTCCATCTTCCATCTTTAAATTAGATTCTTAGATTATGAGAAGTTAGATGACATATATATATTCCTAATCCCTCCTAAATGATCCCAAAAGCTTTTGAGACATTCTCATTATTTCTGATGTTCTTAAAGAAATTTTGTAATAACTGCCTGGTATTGGCCTGTTTTCATTCGTTGTGCTTGGCACTATATAGCTCTTTTCAATCTGGAAACTCAAATTCTAAATAAATTTTCTAGAATATGCCTATATAGGCATATTCTGGTGTACATATATATGTGGTAAAACATTTCATCCTCTGATAGATATGGCTACTAAGACAACCAGCTTTGAAATCTCACAGACTGGACTCGACCCTCAGCTCACTACTTACCTGCTATGGCACTTGGGGAAGTTAACTTCTTTTAAACCATATATGAAATGGGGACAGGTTAATTGTAGAGATTTTTAATAAAATGACACATGTAAACAGCTTATACAACAGAAACACATGTATGTACCTAAATGAAAAATAAGTGTTACCTATTATTAAAATCCTAAAAGCTAGATTGGTGCAGATACTATAAACACTATTAAATCCATCAAGGATCTGCTATTTGTAAGGAAATAAGACTAACAAAAGAAGTGGGAGGCAGCCAATGGGTATAGGCTTTTCTTTTGGGGTATTAAAAACATTTGGGGACTTGAGAGAGGTGGTGGTTACAAAATACTGGAAAGGTACGAAATGTTAGTGAATTGTTCACTTTAAAATGATTGCTCTTGTGTTATATAAATTTTGCCTCAATAAAGAGAAAAAAGGAAGCAGGAAAAAGAAAGGCAGTATAAAGGAGAAGTCAAAAGTTGTTGAAAATGGAGAATGGAAACAATACTCTTTCCTCTTGAATTAGTGTGACACTTTCCTCTATATACTCTCTTTTTAATTCTTGGAACTGAACAGCCAATAATGATAATGTTGGGAAGACAAACACTTCCTTTTTTATCGGATATTAACACATAAATAAAAGGTTGATTGAGAGATCGACATATAATTAAGAGAAGATTATTTTAAATTTCTTTGGGAAGAACGTATAAAACAGGAAAGGTGGAGGATATATACACACACACACACACACGAACAAAAAAGCTGATAGTATAGAAGACAATGGATAAAGTCTTTTTTTTTTTTTTAATCACTATGTATCAGAACGCTCAGCTCTAAGCCTTTTCTTACAACAAATATGGGAATCTACCCGCATCTAAAATCTTTCCAATAAAAGGGGAAGTAATTTACTTCCTACTGATTTCAGACTAGGGGGAAATATTGTTACATGCATCTTTTTTCATTTTCAACACTTCCCAAATTGTGCTCCAAGAAACACTGTTTTAGAAAGATGTTATTTTAACACAGTACAAAAGAAATGAGAGAAGGGAGAATGAGGGGAAGAGAAAGAAAAAAAAGGAAAAGGAAAGCAGCATATTCAAATTTCATTCTTGGGAGATTTGCAAGGCATAGTAGTGTATTAAAGGTTCTGCAGTAAGAAAGCCAGTTCACCTCTATTAAACCTACATTTGGCTGATTTATTAAGTACAGAACAGTTCTTAAGCTATGTCGGTTAAACACATAATGCATCATTTTGTTAAAGGCTACTTAGATTTATACCAGATAACACATAAATTAGGGTAATTTCAATATTAGCCCAGGGGGATAAGATTACCACACATATCCAAGAATAATCAATTATCTGAATAAAACATTGTTTCAAATTACCAGCTGGTCAGAGCAAGAGCTTAATGGCAGTAAAGGAGGGGAAGAGAAGGTGGGAATAAGAGGAAAAGAAGAAAAAACAATGTGGGAAGAGTTAGCTCTTCATCTTCCCTTGTTGAGATGTCCTTGTCCTGACCTGTCAATTCTTATTATTAAGCCTAACATTTGCAGTTAAGATAGTAAAAAATTCCAACTTGGTTCACTTCTCCCCCACTTTCTATTTTTTTACATTAATTCTTAATCCTAGGAGGTAACCTCAAAAGGAGAAGTTAAATATTTGTCGCTTGAGTACCTCAAGTATAAAATTTCACGTTGCCATAACAATCCATATCCCAAAACAGTTAAATACTGCATAATTTAAGCATACAGGCATTTGCAATTTCAGTTTCTTTTACTCAGAGCAAAGATGTACAACACCAACAAAATCTGAACCTGGAACAGTATTTCTTGTTTGGGGGAAAATCATAGGAAAAAACATGGATTTAGAGAAGTAAAAATTTAAATAGGGCAAAGGAAAATCCAAATGGAAATACGTTTAGGAGAAAACTTGTAAGAAGATAAAAAGACACGCTTTTCATTATCACTTTATCATCTTTGAACCAAAAAGAAATCACTACTGTTTATTACTACTATTTCCCATATTGTGGGAACCAATCAAGGAAATGAATCATTTAGGTATTAGAGAAGGCCAATCCCTTAGAGAAGTTAATCCTCTTCTTGGAAATTATTTTACTTCATAGGGGAAAAGCTACAGCTACCTTCCTGATGACTGTTCATCCTTTTTCTCATAAAAGAAGTGGAGTGGAGTGAGCAAATGAAGCCAACGAAAGCCTCAATACCCAGTCACAAAACTGGGGGGGTGGGGGGGGCAAGACAAGCCAGGCATGCACGGCCTAGCTATTCTACTCAGATCATTCTTCGTCATTTACAGGCTACCACCCTTGCCAAAGGGTGACAAGATCATTTGGCTAAAGCAACTGCTGGCTAAATAACAAACCATACACATAAATCTTTTTAAGGAATAACAGATTTGAAAAAGACAAAAGCTAGATAAAATAGATACATTAAAGTAGATAGAATAAACTTCAACTTTGGTTACTATCTCACAAATTAAATTTGTGAATCTTAATTCAGTGGCATAAACGCGGGAGTTGCAAAGTTGGAAGATGAAAGAACAAAGCACTACCGGCACAGTATTTTCTTGGTGAGACTATCAGTCTAAGGTCTGAAAATGAAATGTGCTGATTGGGAAACCGAACTTTATCAGTAACTTAAGATGATCCATCAGCTTCAGTGACTTATTCACAGTCAGAAGAGAGCAAAGAGAGCAAGCATCCCAGATAAACTCACCATAAGGAGGCCCTTACAGTGACCCAAAAACCTGTCCTCTATCCAGAGTATTCATACTTTTTCCACCTAAGTACTAAACTGATCTGATTAAGTAGTACTTGGTTGAATACAGAATTATATAGTAGTAATATAAAACAGATCAACCTGCAAGGCATTTCATCTAGGTCCTAAGGGGGCTTGATAAACACTCCTGCACTACAGGAGATGCACTGCTCATTTTCCAGATTCTCCATCTCTCTCGATGCAAAATTTACACCCGTCATTCTGTTTTCTGTCACCCTCTGTGTTTTCTGTAGATGTGTATTATCACTGACTAAGCCATATCAGGCTATTGCTCTCGTGGATCTGATGTTATGCATCCTTCCAACTGTGTCCTGCCCAACCATGAGAAGACACATTTATTTCCCTATTTTCAAATTCTTAAACAGTACTTCTGACAGCCCCATGTACCTCTAACTGTAATAGAAACTACGAAAAAGTAGTCTGGTTTTTCTGTACTTTTTGTAGATACTGATACTGATTTTAAAATGCTGAACAATTTAAACACAACAACAGTCCAACTGAACACAACTCAACACTGCGAAATGTAAATATATACACTGGTTCAAAGCAAATTGTTAAAAATTAACCACTACAAAACAACTTATGGCTAGCTCATAATAAGGACACAGATAGGTTCATATACTCAATTATATAAGGATTCTACATTTGCATAATGCTTTACAAAGTGCTCTCCCATTCAAGATAACATTAATTCTCATCAAATATTTAAATTGAAAGTCTCCAAGAAAGAGATTTCTCTAAGAGGATAAACGAAATAATCCAAAATTTTAAACTTTAAAAGCCATTAAATTTTCTACTGATGTTTACAGTTAATTTTTCATACATATATATTTTTGCTTTGAAATGAGAAAATATATTAAGACTACAACAGACACAAATTCCTTCTCTCATAAAATATATCACATACTCTTAGGTTATACATGTATTAAAATTATTTAAATCAGTCTTGAGAAATACAGTTTCAAGCTGGATAATAATTACACTTAGAAAATCATGCAAGTTTACAAAAGAGACAAAGTCAGGCTTTGGTTTGCCCAGCAATTCCTGTCCAGATACTCTGTACCAAATTACTTCTTCAAATGCTTGTATACTTATGCTCCATTATAAACTGTTCTATGTAAAAAATGCATGGTATCAGTTATCTCTACCTTAGAACGAATAAATTTAAGTGACTGAATACACTCAAGGATTTAAATCTAATCCCCAATTATGAAATAAAAGACAAAAACCATAGTGTAACTGAATCCAGGACTTAAATTGGTAAGAAGCCTTCAAAGGAGTTCAGGAAATCCTATTACATACACCTAACCATGACAAAGGTTAGTTCTTATCAAATGAGCTGTATCCCATTGAGGTCCATTAAACAAACAAAAAGCAGTTATAGAGCACCAACGTAATAAAAATAGAGTTTACATCACAAAGCACATCATTTTCTAAGACTTAGAAATCTTCTCTAAATGAAAATATAGCATGAATACATCAATATTTGAAACAGAAAATTAAGAGTTCTTACCTTACTACATCATCAATATTGTTCCTGTATACGCCTTCAAGTCTTTCTGCAGGAAACCCCATAGCAATAATGTTGGGATAAATATCTGAGTACTTAAGTTAAGGAAACATCTGAAATATACAACAATGCAAACTACATGTACATGTTGTAAAACATTAGCTGATTATAAAAATCACTATACCTATGCTAGTAAAAGGATGTCAAATGTATTTATTTATAAACCATCATGTGTAATTAAAAAACACGGGTACATAAATTAATTCCCAAAAAAATCCTCAAAATAATTATATGGCAAAATAATTTTCAAATCTCTCTACCTAGTATATTAAAAGTAAGTACATAAAAATTAAGGAAAAAAGTAACTTCCACATTTACTCTATTTAGGCCCACATACATGAAAAACAAAAACCACAGACTTTATAAATCAGAACTGAAGTTACCTTGGGACAAAAACCAAGTATCAAAATAAAAACAAAAATAGCTACACAACTTCTCATTTTTCATTGTTATAAAAGGCACCACAACATAAAGAAAAGTAGATACAATTAAGAATTAGGAAGCCAGATTTAAGACCTGGCTTATGCCGCATCCCGTTGTATAACCTGGACATGACTTAATAATCTTTTCAGGCTTCAATTTCCTATTCCACAAGATTAGGTTGAGACAACCACAATGATCTCTTCCAAGTCCTTGGTATTTGTGACCTGGTAATACTGAACTAAGGTAGAAAGTTTTCCTCATTCACCATCAAGGTAGTCAACATTTAGCATGCCATTCTATTTACTTATGTTACACACTGTAGTCAGCATAAAAACAAACTTCTGTGTTCCAGAAGAATCTGTATCAAACTAAAAAAACAAAACAAAACAAAAAATACCAACCAATCTACATTTCTATGCATTTGTCAATAGTGGCAGACCTCATTTCTCCCCGAGTACCATTATTCCTCTCTCTAATCTCATGATTTTTCTGAGATGGACCTTCCAAAACAGCCAAGCTGATCTGCCCCAAGCCTCCCTTCAACACCATCCCTGAAGTTCTCCGCCTACCTACTCCTGGACCCCATTTGATCTTCAAGTACAATCCAAAATTCACCAAATCCAGTGCCTTTTTGTAGATCTTTTTTCATCACTTTCGGATGCTTTCACATTGTTGAGTTAATTTCGGTATTATTTTCAGTTGAAAAATAATTATCAAGTTACTAAAAGCTTTTTAGAATTATTTTTTTAAAAGGTTTTATCCATAGTTTTACCACACACTGATTGGACAGACCTAAAAATATTTTAAAGGGAAAAAAAAAAAAAAACAGGGGTGCCTGGGTGGCTCAGTTGGTTAAGCATCTGCCTTTGGTTCAGGTCATGATCCCAGGGTCCTGGGGTAGAGCCCTGCGTCAGGCTCTCTGCTCAACTAGGACTCTCTTTGTCCCTCTCCCTCTGCCCTGCTCATGCTCTTTCACTATCTGTCTCCATCTCTCTCTCTCAAATAAATAAAATTTTAAAAATAAAATAAAAACCTTTCATTAAAAGAAAAAAGACCACACACAACAGCATATACAATATGCTACCTTTTGTACAAAAAATATTTTCTTTTTGGATAAAATGAGTAACATATACACACATTTGCCTGAATCTGAATTTCTCAGCACACATGTGCATTTGCACACACACAAATGATAACTGAGAAACCAATAAAAATGTTTGCTTCATGGAGAAGGGGTGGCAAAGGGGAAAAACATACACTAAAACCAGCAACAAACAAATCCAATTAAATATCAAATTGGTAACCAGGAGATAGAGTTTATTTCACAGGAGTTATCTGGCTACTGCAAGTTTACTGTACTTCTTGGTAGGAAGCACTGTAAGAACAAAAAGAACTACAAAGAGGGGCTCCTGGGTGGCTCAGCTGGTTACACATCTACCTTCAGCTCAGGTCATGATCTCAGGGTCCTGGAATCGAGCCCCACACAGGGCTCCGTGCTTAGCAGAGGAGTCTGCTTCTCTTCTCCCCATGCTCATATTCTCTCTCATGCTCACTCTCTCTTTCAAATCAATAAAAATCTTAAAAAAAAAACAAAAACTACAAAGAAATTTTAAACTACTTCTGTGAGTTTGTTTTTACTATTATCAGTATTGATATCCTCAAGCTTTTTTCTTTATACTGTAGAAAAAAATAATGAAATTTTACTAATGATTTTATGATTTATGATTATAGGTATAAAATCAAGAAATCAAGTAAAAACATTAATTAGAAATATCAATATGAACTCATGTTTATAAAAATCTATGTTCTCTAGGTCTTTTCACTGAAATGGCCTAAAAGCATATCAATCTTAGCAGCAAACAATCCCTAGATGGACCCAGACTGCATCTCTAGTATTTAATATATTAAAAGGTACTAAACTTGGAACTACAGTTGATGCCAGGTCTGTGGCAGGAAGGTACAAGATGAGTCTGGGATATTTTTATGTGCCAGGAGACAAGGAAGGTACTCAGAGATAATGGTCTCTATCAGACAGATATAGGAGCTAAAATGAAGGACATCCCAGGACCTAAAGCTCTAACAAACTGAGTATCAAAAAAACAATTTAAATGGTAGTAAATTAAAACACCCTAAATAAAATTAAAACCCTTGAGTCTATATAAAGACACTCAAAAGAAAAAAAGAACAAACTATTTTTCATTTATCACCTTTTGAAGTGGCTGTTAGAACAGTTCTTTCTCTACTCTGAAAGTAGGAAAAGGGGGAGATTAAGTATTTATGCTACTTTTCCTGTAGGTTCTGTATTTCAGGACAACCAAATAGCACCATTTCATACAGTAAAGATCTACTTTACAGAAAAACATTGTGTTAATAAACACAAAAGAACAGAACTTTAAAAATCATATTTTGCAAACCCTAATAAATTTATTGATTTAGGCAAGGATCAACAACTGGTTCTAAACCAACAGGTTAGTGGATGATGAAGAACTGAACTTTTTTTCTTAAGAGAGCCAAAGCAACACCACCCAAAATACCTTCTGATGTAAGGAGACCAATGTAATTGATCAGCGGGCAGAAAAGACTGCTACCACCCAATTTCAGTGATCAATCTGAGCATCACCAAGGAAGTTAAGCAGAGATCCTATAACTTTCTGTGTGATACAATATGAAGGACATAGCATCACCTATGATATCCAAGGTATCTTCAACCTGAGAATCAACGAAGTATTTAGATATAAGTTTTAATTTACATTAAATACAAGAGATAGAAAAACGAGCTAAATGACATGAGAGAATAAACTGGACAAATTCAAAAGGTCTGAAGCATATGACCCAGTCTCTGCTCAAATGTCTTTTTAAAAGGCAAGGAGGGGAGGAATGGGTATCCCTTATTTTAAAAGACTCAAGGGTCAGGGTGCCTGGGTGGCTCAATCGTTAAGCCTCTGCCTTCGGCTCGGGTCATGGTCCCAGGGTCCTAGGATCGAGCCCAACATCGGGCTCTCTGCTTAGCGGGAAGCCTGCTTCTCCCTCTCCCACTCCACGTGCTGTGTTCCCTCTCTCACTGTGTCTTTCTCTGTCAAATAAATGCATAAAAAATCTTCAAAAAAAAATTTTTTTAATAAAAAAAAAGACTTAAGGATTATAAGAGCCAAGTTCATAGGTATAATGCTATCTGGATATAGTTCTAGACAAACAAGCCATAAAGAACATTTTTGAGCCAACCAGAGAAATTTGAAAATGATCTGGGCATTATAGGAGATAAAAAAAATGACTGAAATGGAAAAGCACACGTTATTGACTAAAAAAAAAGTTTCAAAAGAGAATACACAGCATTATGCCATAATCGAGTAAGAATACATATATACCCATATAGATATATGTAGACAAAAAGATTACAAACTAAGGTACTAAAAGTAATCATCTCTAGGTGGTGGAAATATATATTTTTCTCATTTTTGTTTTTTATTTTCTGTTGTTGATACAATGCACCTGCACTATTTCTGTAACAGATTTTTAAAAATTGTTTGCTTTATAATTATCTCCAGGTCTATTTACCAAGTATCATGACAAAATATTGTTTTATCCCACGTGACTTAAATTCAGCTCTGTATGTAGTTTTAAAAAAATGATGAATTTCTATCTATCTATATATATGTATATACAACAAATATGTAATGAAAAAAGATTTAAGTAGCATTTACTATGTGGCAATTTTGTCACTTTAAGAATATATAAATTCACCCCCAATCTCAAAGGGTTCTTCTACTATGGAGACTCCAAAACTATTAGGATTATCATTTTTAACATTACAAATAATCGCTGTCATCTATTATTCTCACCTAAGAAAGTAGTTCCACCTAAAAACATAGCTCAATTCGAAGAACTATGTTCAATTATCAAAATGTTTTGGGTATTATGTCCATTCATGAGAAAGAAAAAAAGAGAGAGAGAGAGACTGGAGGCTCAAATCAAGCCTATAGCAGTAATAATTCCTGAAAGTGAATAATCTTTACTTTGTAACCCTGTCTTGGGAGCACCAACATATAGAAAAAAACACTCAGAAGACAAACGAGGCAGCGGTAGGGACCCAAAGCAGTGGCAGTTTCCGCCAATCCAAAATTCCTACATAAAAAATTATAAATAGATATAAGTAAAAAATTTTAAGTTGAATTTTTCTGAGCAATGCAACAGCAAAATATTTCTTATTCAAAGTAATAGTAATTACTGCTCCTAACGAACTTTTCAACTGAATGCTTAATTTCAGTAAAGACACTAGTATGATTTTCAGCCTTAAAGAAAAGCACAAGAGTACAAAGCCCCTTGAAATGCAGTCATTTTAACCAGGACTAAACTCCAATGTATCCTTGCACTATGAATACTAATAAAGGAGAAAAAGTTGCAAAGAACTTGGTTACCTTAAACAAAACCATTTGTCTCTGATTATACATAAATAGGAATGTTATATACTCATTAAAGTAAACTCAGTTGGCCCCCTTTCATTCACTTAATTATTCAAACACACAGTGAACATTCCGTGCAAGGGGCAGTGAGAGCAGAGGCTAAGTAAGCAAAGACTATTGCACTGGAAAAGTCCCTACTCTGTCA